CTCCCACGAAGTTCTGATCCGCCTTTCCAAAAATCCCACCAGCTGGGAAGGCCGACGTGTCTCCACCCCTGTAGCTGATTATCAGATTGGCCTTTCCGAAAATCCCACCAGCAGGAAAGGCAGATGTGTTGCCTCCTCGGCCAGCAGAGTTCTTCATCATGGGAAGAGTAGTGGCTGCAGTTGGTGTCTTAAGGACCGAGCTGGGTTTGGGAGCCCCAAAGGGTAGTCGTAGTGGTTGTTGCAAGCGTGAAAGCAGACACTGAAGAAGCCATTAGCTAGCTAGAGATCGATCGAGTAGCTAGATCTAGCAATACACTGTGGTTTTCTTTTAGTAGCTGTTTGTGGTAGTAGGAGGAGGAGGAGTGAAGTTTCTCGTCTTGGAGAGGCGGGTATTTATAATATATGGATTTCATTTGCTAAAATGGCCACTGTGTGCACGTGCATGCATGGGCAAACAGTAACAACTTTTTTATTTTATTTTACGAATAACATAATTATTATTATTGTAAATGTGTGTGAGAATTAACCACCTGTATACAGTAGCGCAGCCCCATATATCGGAAATTATAGACACGTGAAAATGATATTTCATGAAGGGTTAACTTATCCAGTTTGTTGCTCAAATGGGTGGATTCGAAATCTAGTGATAAAAACGTCCTTGATTAATTAGGAGCAGGAGGTAAACATATACAATAGTCAAGCTCATATATGATAACTTTCGTTTGATTGTGTGTTAGTAATTCGTATATGATCCATAACTTCATTCTCACAACAATTCAAGACTTTGCGCTTGTCTCGCTGCAACTTCGTGTCCTCCACTATTTCGTTCGAAGGTTTCCCCATGCTCATCACTGTGCTTGAGCTTAGGTATGTGATAATGAATGACGAGAGTACCACTCATCTGCTCCTTGGAGCTTCAGAAGCTCAGTACTTTCCTCTTTGGCCTTGTATAACTTGGACTATGATAGTGGTAGAAGCTCCCAAAGTTGGTCCCTTCCACTTTACCAGCAATTTCAACGCTCTCCGTTTGAACTTTGAAGCATACTCCACTCCTGATGAAAACCGCGGTCCTCCATTAATGGAATTATATCCTTTGGAAAAGTAAAATGAAGATGTTTAAAGTTATATTACTTTTAAATTTTAGGCAAGGATGGAGAAAGGAAGAATCATATAACATAATTATAGGGATGGGGCATGAGTATCTCTAAACAAAATCATTTTTTATCTATCTCCATCATATTTTTTTTTTTTAGCATTACCTCTACTCAGGTAGAGTCAGGATTTAATGTTTTGTGGAGGCTAAGTTTCTTAATCTGTTATAAAGGTGATAAATTTTATTAAAAAATAATAGAAGATTGTTGATATGACTTGAATCGGATTATCAGCCGCTACGCTCCCGGCCCACGGTGTATGGGCTCAATGTTATTTGGGTTCGGGTTCTGGGCCTAGTCTGTAACCGTTTCCTTTGTCAGATTGGATTAGGTTTAGACCCACATGGAGAAGTACTATAAATACTTCTCATACTTAGGGATGGCAATGGGTAGGGTCGGGTGCGGGTTTACCCTATACCAACTCATAACCCGCCGGGTAGAGTTTTCTAAAATACCCGACCAAATAACCACCGGGTATGAAAATGATATAACCATACCCTACCCACCGGGTAACCACGGGTATTCGGGTAACCATGGGTACGAATCCTAAACTATGAACTTATACACATATATGCACATATATACTGTTGTCCATTAAAAATTCTCAATACTTGTAAGTTGTAACTATTCTAGCTTCAACAATCCACACAAATAAAAACAACAAACACATAATAATTGTTCTTGCTTCTACAATCCACACAAACATAATAATCATCTACATATTCATCATCAATAATGGTAGCTAAACTCAATTTCTCAAGCTAAAATAAATTTCTCAAGGGAAATTGACCCTTTGGTTAGCGGGGCGGGTATAACGGGGTAGGGGTGAAACTGGGCCAAACCCAGCCCTGACCCTGTCACTACCCAAAAAAACCCAGCCCTGTATGCTCAAATATTTGGCCCGACCCGGCCCGACCCTATTCTCATTTGGCCCTGTATGGCCCTGTTGGGTCGGGCTGGGCTGGGTCGGGTCGGACCATAGGGTCGGCCCAACTTCTTTTTATACAATATTAGTCCACTTAATTATTTAATATCAAATTCAATTTCAAAAAATTGCAAGTATATACTAGAAAATTTAAATGAGTTCATAACAAAAATAATCTAAATTAAATAAAGAAATTATTTAAACTACTGTTCCATTCCTTTCTTCTTCTTCAACATGATCCCCGTTGGACTCTGCGAATTCCTCTGCTGCTGGCCTTCTTTCCAAGTCCAGCTTCACTGCTAACTTGTCATGATGATGATGATGATGATGATGATGATTAGAAGGAGGAGAAGCAACTACAATGTTGCTGACATTGTTGCTCCTTGAGTTGAAACTGAATCCATTATTCCACAAAATATGATAAACCCATCCACAAAAGCATCAATTACAACAAAGCAAGTCAAGATTCAGAAGAATGAATAATAACTATACAAGTTTGCGGTATAGGTTCATAGTAACTTTCTGTGTAAAGAACACTAGAACTACTAAAATAAATAGAAAATCAACAAATATACAATGCAGGAAGCTTGAAACAGATGAGAAACAAAAGTAGCTAACCTCGATTGCTATATGGATAGCAAGGTGTCCTGTAACAGCTGCAACGACTGCTGAATTGGGTCAAGCAGCTACAACAACTGCATAAACAAGCATTGCAACAAAAACCTGCCACTGAGCTGCAGAGGAGCTGCTCTTTCCCAGCTGTGGCAAGATAAAGAACAGGGACACCACTGAGAACCCGCAGACTATTCCATTCGCAGCCACCAAAAACCTGCCACAAAAATTGTTTTAGTACCTCCCTCCCATAACCATTATGCAACAAGTATGGCCACGTAAACTATCACGCAGAGCAATTACGATTTGATTCTGTAAGTAAATCAACCCATACAACCAACAACACAGTATAATCTCTAGAATTACCGTAAACCAATCGTGCGCTAACCTTGCGGATTTGAGTAGAGGATCCTCTATTTTCCCTCCTCACCCATCAATCTCCTGCGGATGTGAAAAAATCCGGCGCCGGGGAGACGACGGGGAGCTAGAACGAGTAAGGGAAGCTGCTGCGGCGGGGGACAGGGGAGGGCGGCGGCGGGAGGGTGAACCCGAGTGCTGGACCGGCGTAGAGGATGAAGGAGATGCGGCGGCGGTGGGTCGATGATGGGGTAAGCGATGGCGGTGAAATCGACGAACCCGAAGGAGGAGTTCAAGAGGTCGATGATGTAGATGATAGCGCAGTCGACACTATTGCGAGGAAAGAAGGGATGGACCGCAATGGGTTGGGTAATTAGGGATTTAGGGTTAAAATGGGTCAAAATGGGCCTGAATGGGTTTTAAGGGTAAAACCCAAAAATACCCTACCCTCTAGGGTCAGAATGTGACCCGGCCCTATTTTGGCCCTAAAGACTAATTGACCCTACCCAACCCATCGGGTTGGGCCGGGCCGGGCCGGGCTGACGGATAGTAAGGGCCAAAGTTACAGCCCTATAACGGGGCGGGTATTATCGATTACCATACCCGTACCCTACCCTTTATTTTGAAACCGGGTATTATCCGTACCCGCCCCTTAACCCGTCAAAGCGGGTAATTACCCTCGTTGACCGGTTACGGTCGGGTAGGGTACCCATGGTTACGGGTTGGATTGACATCCCTACTCATACTCCTCTGTAATCTGTAATCTCCTCGATATAGTGAAATCGGCTCTCTCTCGCCCGTGGACGTAGCTAACACACATCGTGTTAGTGAACCACGTAAATCGTGTGTCGTGTTAGTTAAACTCATTGTGGTTAACGTTAATAATGAATCAATGCAAATGATTGTTTCATTTCATTAAGCACTGCTGCCTTGCTAGGTATAAGCATATTAATTGACGGAATTAAATTTATTTTTCTTTGATTCGGGTTCTTCATTTCTCTTTATACAGCATGCTTGGTTTCATTTCACACCCTCATTTCGTGACAAAACAAATCTGTTGGATCATCAATTAGTCGATCGTCGACTCTTCCTTAATTCCTCTTTGTAATTTACGAGCAAAAGGTCGTATTTATTTTGTAGTATATGCCCTTTGATCTAAGACCGTTGCAGATGCTTAGCCAGATCAACTTCGACCACGTGCGTTTAACCAGCCCCTACATTGCTGCCTCTGTTCTTGGCATGATTAAGAAGGCACCCAATTTGCAACGCCTTTCGATTTCGGTAGGGTTCCTACAGTAATTAAGCCTCCTCTGTTCTTCCCATGCATGATTAAGAATCAATGTTTCCGATATTGAAAATGTGAGTCGGAATTGGATGTTTTCGTGATCTTGAAGATGACGCAAACTACTAATGAGGAAAGGTATAGGGAATGATATACAACTACTTATAATTCATTCAAATGTGATATTTCGTACAAATATCACATAGCAAATATGTATTGTCGCATGTGATATTTGTAATAAATGTAAAAAAATAGTTCTCTTTATTATATTATTTATTTTTTCATGTCACGTGCATGACATCTAATTCATCAATAATTGGTGACTCATTAACAAAAATAGTGTTGACCGTCCAACTTGATGATCACGCATCTAACCAAATTTAGCTTAGACCAGAATGAATATTTTAAAAACCACCAGCCAAATAAATTATTAATATAAAATTCATCCCAATTTAACATATTAACCCTTTAATCAAGTTCACAAATTTCCAAATCCACAAACCAAACATATCTCCTCCATTGATCTTTTTTTTTTTTATGCACGGCAGACAATTACTTATTCAGTTATTCTGCTAAACAAAGCCCAATGGCTACCCATAAAAATACGAAAGAGCCCATGGACTTGGGTCCACAACTTCGTTGCTCTTCTCCCGGAGTCCGTCCAGTGGGCAGTGACAGTAGCAAGTTTGGAGTTTCCGGCACCGTCGTCTGGTTCTCTGCACTCTGCAGTCACTTTTCGTTTGTCTTTTGTCCCACCGGAGCCATCATGGTTTTGTTCACCTGAGCAGAGAATCAGGAGATCTGCCGATCACGCCTCCATCCCATTCAATTCCAAGGTGCGCTTTTGTATTCTTGCAGGCATGCCTTTCACTATAATATATAATCCCACGCTTTTGATTTTTGAATCCAGAAACCCTAGCAGAGAATCGTACTCTGAGAGCTCAGTTGTTGGCCATATCAATAGATAATTAGCTCCATAGTTGTTGTTTATTCTTGCAAACTCAACGTGACTAGCAAAGGCTCAATCTTTCTGAACCCTAAAGAATACAACAGATTATGGATTATAATGATCAGGTTCTCTTCTTACCCCCACAAACTACCAAACTAAAAGAACAAACAAACTAATGAGATTCGAGACTGGTTGCTGCCTTAGACTGCCAGAGCTAATCATTTAGTTTCAGCAAGTCAGTTCGAGGCCACGCATTTCCTTCGTGCTTCATGGCGAAGTTTATGCTCCATGTCTCTGTAGTTGGAACTTAAGATGACTTGGATGCTCTTTCATAATGTTCCTGCAGCATGTAGCCGCTAGTAAGCGCAAAGTTCCCGAGCTTGCAGATCTTGATTTCTCACTAGCCTATAGTAAATTCCTTATGCCTGGTGCCTGATGGATTTAAGATGCTGCTACTCTTTTTGGCAGGAATGAGGTCGTAATAGTACTACGGTAACAGTATCGCCGAAATATAATCAGAACAGGACCTGGTTAGTCTTGGTGCAAAGTGGATTCTGGTCTCCTTTCAATGGCAACGAGAACGCGGATTGGTGCAGATGAAATCAGTAGCTTGCCAGACAATGTTAGAGAGCAGCAGATCCTGATGTTTTTACCATTACGGGAAGCAGCCAACGCAAGCATCCTGTCATCTAGATGGAGGAACATGTGGACCCGACTCCCAACTCTCGTCTTTGACGAGAGCTTTTTGTCAAACTACTGTAGAAGCCTACGGTCAATACCAGATTGCTGAGATGAACAAACTAATGTTCAAACTCTGCACAGTTCTGTTGCTTCACCGTGGGCCATTGCAGGAGCTTTCACTCTCGCTGCCTATACTAAGGAGCTTCCCTGCTCAGATTGATCAGATCCTGCTGTTTATTCAAGAAAAATGCAGCATTAAGAGTTTAACCATCACGGTTGAAAGTCGGTACTGGAGGCGTATATTTCCTTTCCGGAAGAATTACAAAGGCTACAAGCTGCCAAAGCGTTTGTTCTCATTTTCACAACTCAAGGTCCTGCGGTTGTGTTGCTGTCAATTCACATCCTACCCTGTTTCATTCGAATGTTTCAGTATGCTAACCGTCCTCGAGCTTAGAAATGTGATATTCGAGGGCTGTGGTAAAGTTTGGAGCTTCACATGTCCACTGCTCTCAGCTTTGACATTGGTTCAATGTGGCCGTGGCGGTTTATTCAAGCTGCCTCGCATTGTGATAGAAGCTCCAAAACTTTGTCGTTTCCACTTTCACGGGACTTTCAGCTCTCTTCAATTGAACAATACTCCATTTCTCAAAACCGCTATCCTCCATAAGGAGTTCACTTTCTCTCTGGACAGAAAAATAAAAGACAACCCCTCAGACTTCCTGAAATTTTGGGGCGGCCTTGCTGCAGTAGAGTCGCTTTCTGTGTCCGGTTATCTCTACCAGGTAACATCGATCTATCACGGTTTCTATCATTGTATGTTATTTACTTATTTTAGTATATGACTTAGTTTGCTGCTGGTGTTCTTTGTTACGGTTTTAGTACCTGAGAATAGGTAATAGTCAAGCCATTGATCTAAGTCCATTGCCGATGCTAAGGCATATGAAATTGGATCGTGTGTGTTTGAACAGCAAGAGTATTGCCTGCTCTGTTCTTCTCATGATCAAGAGGTCACCTAACTTGCAACAAATTGCAATCTCGGTACGTGCACATATGAGCTATATAATAACATGATCTCTTTTCTCACAATCCACCCATATGTAATTTCTATACTTCCGATTTAAGTGTGTATTAAAAATGTGAACTGAATCTGGATGTTTTGGTGATGTCATGAAAGATGAAGATATCTGATGAAAATGGAAATAGATTGTGGTGGTGCTCTTGATGCTAGCAGACTCCGAGACATGTTGCAGGATGGAAATAATGTGTCGAAGCATGAGCTGAGCCGACTTACGAGGGTGGAAGTGAAGCGACTCAAGGGCATCAAACACGAAACAGCTTTCCTCGAATGGCTGTTGAGCTCCTCACCAGCACTTGAGTCGATGGAAATTCAGCTGGAGGAGAAACTATCAGCGGCTGAGAAGGTGTTGATTCTCACAGAACTGAATGGATTTCAGAGGGCCTCGACTAGAGCACGTATCATAGTTGAATGAAAGGGCATATATAAAGCGTCACATCAACTGCTAGCTACTTGGTCTTCCTTTCCTAGTTAACCTTTTGTTGCAGCTAGGAAATTTTTTGATGATGCTATGAGGAAGATGATGGATATGCTAATGTAGTTGCATATAACTGGATGTCAGTATCTAGTCGTTGTAAAACAACAAGTTTGGTGGCTAACATCGTTAGTATGTTTAACTAGAGCTAATGAACCTGGTTTTCTGACTTAACTAGATCGATTCAGTTTAATCTAGTTTTCTGGAGTCGAGATGGAACGATGGCTAGTTCGCTCAATACTCAGAGTAAGGGTAGTGTACACAAAGAAAATCCCTTTTGGCCATTGGTCCAGATCCAGAAAGCACCAAATAAACTATCATTTTCTAAATAAAAAATCTCCAAGTTACCTTATATTATATCCTCCATGGAAAACCTAGATTATGGACCTCCAAAATAATTCAATTTGATAAGTTAAAACACAATAATGTATGATGTATATTTCATGTGGCCATTCACAGCGAAAGAATAAAATAATCGTTATTTTTCCTTCGTCTAATAGAACAAATTAAAGAATTTTTCGAATAGCGTTTAAATTATTCTATCAAGTATCGATTTTTTAAATTAGTAAATTAAATATTCTAAACATTTCATTAATGATTAACTACTAAAAGTCTAAAAAATGTGAAAAATAATTTGTATATGAGTACTTGTCGTTGTTGTGGTTATTGTGGTTTAATCATTGTGAACTTGTGATTAGTGTTTAATCACAAACCAGCATTCCACGCCTAATTTTTTATGTATTGAGAAAGAATTTCAGGGAAAACGGAACTCACGGAGAAAAAGGAAAGCTCTATATATATCCCACAGGCCACCGGCTCAACGCAGTGGACAGTGGCGGTAGTAACTAGTAATTTCGAAAACTTGCCGGCCACGTCGTGTTGTGCTCTGCATTTACACATTTCCTGTGTCTTTTTGTCCCTCCGGCGCCATGGTTTCCTTCACCTGAGCTGTGAATCAGCACACTGCCGACCACGCCTCCATCCCCTTCAACCCCAAGGTGCGAGCCCTTTCTGTTTCTCCCCCGTTTCACTTTCTCTCAGCTCACCGGGAGGTTTTCCAGTCTCTGGGTTTTCTTGTTTGAGTGGATTCGAGGACTTCGAATCAGCTCCAGCTCCAATTTAATTGTTTTTTGTTCTTGGCTTCTTGCATACATGTCTTTAACTATAATCACACGATTTTAATTTCGAATCCAGAAGACCTAGCAGAGAATCGTAATCTGAGAGCCTAGTTGCTGGCCATATTAATAGAAATGGAGCTCGATAGTTGTTGTTTAACCCCGCAAACTCAACATGACTAACAAAGTCTCAATCTTTCTGAAACCCTAAAGAGTACAATGGATTATTGATTATAATGTTAAGGTTCTCTTCTTACCCACAAACTACCAACCTAAAAGAACAAACAAACTTATGCGACTCGAGACTGTTTGCTACCTTGGACAGCCAGAGCTAATCATTTAGTCTGTGCAAGTCAGTTCGAGGCCAAGCATTTCCTTCAGTATTTCATGGCGAAGTTTATGCTTCATTTCTCTGTAGTTGACCTTAAGATGACTTGGATGTTTTCTTTCATAATGTCCCTGCAGCATGTAGCCGCTAGTAACCACAAAGTTCCCAAAGCTTGCAGATCTTGAATTCTGAGCAGTCTATATTAGTTTTCCATATGCCTTTTGTATATAAGATGCTGCTAACCTTTTGTCAGGAACGAGGTAGTAGTAATACTGCTGTAAAAACTCTCGCGGAAATATAATCAGAACAGGAACCGGTTTTTCTTGGCTCAAAGTGGATTCTGGTTTCCTTTCAATGGCAACAAGAATGCAGATTGTTGCAGATGAAATCAGTAGATTGCCAGACAATATTAGAGAGCAGATCCTGATGTATTTACCATTACGGGAAGCAGCCAAGGCCAGCATCCTGTCATCTAGCTGGAGGAACATGTGGACCCGACTCCCAAAGCTCGTCTTTAACAAAAGCTTTTGTCAAACTAATGTAGAAGCCAAAGGACAAGACCAGATTGCAGAGATGAGCAAGCTAATGTTAAAACTCTGCACAGTTCTGTTGCTTCACCGTGGACCCTTGCAGGAGCTGTCACTCTCACTGCCTATACTAAGGAGCTTCCCTGATCGGATCGATCAGGTCCTGATGTTTCTTCAAGAAAAATGCAGCATTAACAGTTTAACAATCACGGTTGGAAGTCAGTACCTGAAGCGTGGACTTCCTACCATGAATAATTATGAAGTCTACAAGCTGCCAAGTCGTCTGTTCTCGTTTTCACAACTCAAGATTCTCCATTTGTCTTGCTGCCAGCTCACATCCTCCCGTTTTTCATTCGAATGTTTCAATGTGCTTACCGTTCTTAAGCTTAGAAATGTGATATTCAAGCACTCTTATAGCACTTGGAGCATCAGATGCCCACTGCTCTCGGCTTTGACATTGGTTGACTGTGGCCGTTTATCCGAGGAGCCTCACATTGTGATAGAAGCTCCACAACTTGGTCGTTTCCACTTTGAAGGGAAGTTCAGCTCTCTCCAATTGAACAATACTCCATTTCTCAAAACCGCCTACCTCCATAAGTGGAATCCTTCCCCTGTGGACTTGAAAGTCGACCCCTCAAAATTACTGCAACTATGGGGTGGCCTTGCTGCAGTGGAGTTGCTTTCTGTGTCCGGTTATCTCTACCAGGTGAAGATGTATAATTGCTTCTATCATTCTCTGCTATTCAATTATTATAGGATGTGATTTTGTTTGTTGTTGCTGTTTTTTGTTATGGTCTTTAGTACCTGAGACTGAGAAGAGGCAATAATCAAGCCATTGATCCATGCCCTCTGCGTATGGTAAGGCATATGAGATTACATGCCGTGTGTTTGAATAGCCGGAGCGTTGCCTCCTCTGTTCTTGGCTTGATCAAGAGCTCACCCAACTTGCAACAACTTGTACTCACGGTACTTGCACATATCTGCTATACAGTAACATGATCCCTTTCCTCATCCTCGAGACCTTAATCATTCTATCTCGCTTTTATGTCTATTCTATATATGGTTTTATTTATTGAATTGTATGTTAAAATGTGAATTGGATCATATGAAGATGCAGAAGATTTCAGACACCTCATCAGCGGTAATGAGAAGAGATTATGGCGGTGCTCTAGATGTTGGTAAACTCCGAACCATGTTGCAGGATGGCAATGGCCCGTTGAACTGTGAACTGGGCGGACTTAAGAGCGTGGAAGTGAGGAGGCTGAATGGCACAAGCCACGAAACAGCTTTCGTTGGATGGCTGGTGAACTCCTCTCCATCACTTGACTCGATGGAAATTCAGCTGGCCTTGGAAGTATCAGCAGCCGAAAGGGTGTCGATTCTCACAGAACTGAATAAACTTCGAAGGGCCTCAACTAGAGCATGTATCGTGGTTAAATGAAAGGGCATATGAAGCCTTTCGACAACTGCTACTTGGTCTTCCTTTCCTAGTTAGCTTTTGTCTTAGTCTTTTTGGTTGGAACTGTTTTATAGTGGTCTGCTCAACGCAAATGCACCCAGAAAAGATGCTTTGAGGAGGAGGGTCAATATGCCAAGGTTGTTTCATGTAAGGTCAGTCACTGTAAGGTGATTTCTTGTATGGTAAGTCACTGTTTAGTTGTTACAAACAATAAAGTTTAGTGCCTAACATATGCACCTTGTTTTCTGGTTTACTTAATGTGGTCGTCGGTTCTTTCAATTAAAATAATCAGCGGTCTTAGTTTGGTTTTCAGCCATCTTATAAGAATCGAACTGGATCAATGGCTGGACCAATAGAATCGTGCCATTACAATAGTGGTTCGGCGTATTTGCTTGGACGGGAACCAAAAAATTTTAACGGCTGGATATGAAGCCAAACGAACCATCCTGATTTGACTTGTCTATTGGTTCATTATTTTAAGTAAAAAACTCAAGAAATCAATACTTTAACCTAAGTTATGTCCATCCAATCTAAATGGCCAATTTTATTTATGTTTTCTTTTCTTTTTTCAACTTTACGTGGTCCAGGTTCACTACCGATTGTTACCCTAGTTACTAAGTTAAACCAAAACCGACCGGTTGCCAGCCCTAGATTTAGGTGTCCGTTGCTTTCATCGCTGACCTTGGTTGATTGTGGTGGGAAGGTTTTCGAGGAGCCTGATTTTGTGATCGAAGCGACGAAACTCGGTCGCTTTGAGCTTGATGGGAAGTTCAGTTCTCTCCATCTGAAGGATACTCCAGTTCTTAGAACTGCTATCCTCCGTAAGCAATTCTTTTCCGATGGAGATGAGAAGGAGGAGGAGGATCCGTCGAAGCTGTGGGACGGCCTTGCGGCGGTGGAGTCGCTCTATGCGTCCGGCGATCTTTATCGGGTACGTGATTAATTACGCCATTACTTTTGTTTCTGTCTTCTAGCTAATTAAACAGGCATTTACTAGGACTGGATAGCAATTGTGGGTTTGGGACGGATTTCACTAAACCATCGTCATTTCGTATTCGAATAGTTAACAAATGTCTATCTCATATCTATATGGAAAAAAAATTGCGACCATATTTCAATATCCATTAGTTTTCATGTACTTATGGGTAATACCCGTCTATATATCCATTATTATTATACATAGAATTCAATACATAAATTTTCAAGCATAACACTAAAGAGAGCCAATAAATCCTGAAATCAACAATGAGTCAGGGATACAAAAATTCTCTATCAACAAGAGTTTATTCTAGTAATAATATTACTAGCTTTGAACCTGTAGGTCCCAGATTCAAATCTTTTAAGTAGTACCTAATGACAAAAAAATTAAATCCTAGCTATTACAACCTTATATAAAAATATACATATATTCTGGTGAAAGAAGCGAGAATTGAGGGAAATATATTAGAGTTTGATTCGAGTATCCACTCAGATACATTTCAACTCTTTTTCCCCCCGAATTACCCATCCTATCATTGGTGGGTGGGTATGCAGGGTACGGGAGGCTAAAACCAAAAATCCGCCTCATTTCTATCATACTTTTTACGAGTTTTATCTAAACCTGTCTATACCTAATCAATACAAAAATTTCACATGTTAACTTGATCGTGAAGGCGCGATACCAACAGTTACGAGTTTGATTGCCATCCACGTTTACAAGTGGTGTTTGTTTTATTCTAATTTAAAAGGTTTTCGTGGGAATATTGCTATTGTGTTGCAGTACTTGGCGGGAGGTAACAAAGAGACCATTAGTCTTGGCCGGCAGCTGGAGATGCTAACTCAGTTGACACTGGACGGAGTTTGCCTCAGCAGACGCAGCGACGTCTGGTCTGCTCTTTGCTTGATCACGAAATCACCGAACCTTCGTCGTCTTTCAATCTCGGTACGTGTTAGCAGCCCACTCGACGCTCCACCCCAAATGTTTGTTCTGTTTATTTTGTTCATCATTGTGCATACAAAGCTGCAATAATTAATGACGTGTGAAATTGGATCTGGTTTGTGTGGTTGATTGATGATGAAGATGGAGCTCAACCGGAGGCTGATTCACGATAGCATAAAGTCGGCACAACTAGGGAGACTACTTAACGGCGAACCAAAGGTTAATCCGCTTAAAACGGCGGAAGTGAAGAGCTTCCATGGTACAAAGCACGAGATGGTTTTTGTGAGATGGATGTTGACGAAGAACTGGGGTTTGCGCACACTCTGATCCATGCGTGATTGTATATCAATACATAATCAACTTAATCCAACACAAGTACACAATAATACTATTCTATCATCAAATTCAATTAACTATTACTCAACTCATAAACCTCTCCAAATTCCATGGATGTTTAAATATTGTTGATTGTTGTCGAGCTATTAATCACGGTGGCGTAGATGGCGGAGGTAAGTTTTATTTTTATTTTTTAATAGTTGTAAAATGAGGTGGAAATTGTAAATATATAAATTGTATTATTTTATTATTTTTTTAATGGCCACTTCACTCATTTAACGATCAACTATAATAGTTGACTGCCACATCAGTAAAAACTAACGGAGACTAATGGAGAGTGACCAAACTTGAACTATTGAACTAATCTAAGTGACCATGAATGGAGTTAAATATTTGCAGTGACCAAACATGAACGATTTTAGTAAACCCAGTGACCATCCTTACAATTAACCCCGATTTTGTTCTCTAAATTAGGCGACATTTGGTCATTTTGCATTTCTCATATTTTACTAAAATAGTGACTATATTCTATGTACCTTTTTTTATAGTGATACGTCGCAACGGTTCCCGTTATTCAAAAAAGAGAGCGAGAAATAAAAAAACTATAAATTAAAAAGGAAAACGTTACACTGCTCCTCTCCAGGAGTCCAGTGACAGTGTGTTCAAAAACGTCCCGGCCGTCGGTCAGTTACACTTACACAATTTTCTCTATCTTTTGCCCGCCGACCGCCATGGTTCGCCTGAGGAGAGAGCAAGCGTCGATCGGATAAGCAGACTTCCGACGAAGCCTCGCCACCCCCCGTCAGGTCACGGAGAGAATTTTCTGAAGAATCGTCTTTCTTTCGCCGCCATTTCTCCTTTTGTCATCTCCACCAAGAAGTTTGAATTAGCTCCGAGATCCGCTTTCAAGAGGTTTCACCTCGCTACAGGTATATAAGCCCTACCTCCAATCTCATTCTGGGTTCTTCCGTTCACTGTGATCTCATCTGTTTTGATTTTGAATCCTCAAAACCCTAATAGTGAAGCGTACTCAGAGAGCTCGACAGTTGTTGTTTGTATCAAATTAATGTAGAAAAAAATAAAACGCCATGTCAATTTTTTCACCCCACAAAACTCAAACCCTCGATTCTTCCTTAGGTGAAGATCAAATTCAGTAGTGAACTGTGAGCTGGTTGAATTCAAGCATTTTCTTGATTTTTTTTCCTTTCATACCCTGTGTTCGATTCCTCTGTAATTAAGCTAGATCAAAGCAGCGTCCTTTCCTCTGAGATGGATGGTACTCCACTTCAACGTTCTTTCCTGATAGTCTGCAATATATAGCCCGTTAAAGTTCCCTAAAGCTTGCAGATTGACAAACTCTACTCTTGATTTCTCACAAAGCTTATAAATTATACATACCGCTGGTGGTTATGAGATGCTAGTCTTTTTGCAGGAATGATTTAGCAATGCTGTAATAGCCTCCGGGGAGTGTATAATCGGAACGATACCCATTTGGTTAGTCCCAGTTCAAGGGGATTCTGGTTTCCTTTGGATGGCAAAGAGAATGGAAACTGGGGTGGATAGAATCAGTAGCTTGCCAGACAATGTCAGAGAGGAGATTCTGATGTTGTTACCACTACGGGATGCAGTCAAGGCGAGTCTCCTATCAACTAAATGGAGGAACATGTGGGCCAATATTCCATGTCTGGTCTTTGATCGAAGCTTTTGTCCAATGGTAAGAGTTTGCCAACATCAAGATGCAGCGATCGGCAAACTAATGCTGAATCTCTGCACAGTTCTGTTCCTCCACCGTGGGCCACTGCGGGAGTTTTCACTCTCGCTTCCTCTGCTGAGGAGCTTTCCTGATCACATAGAAAGGATCTTGGTGTTTCTTCAAGAAAAACAAATCGATTGTTTAACCATCACGTTGGAAATTCAGTACAGGTTTCCTTGCTTCCCATCCTATAAGATTGAGTGCTACCAGCTTCCAAGGCGTGTGTTCTCATCATTTTCACGACTGAAAACTTTGCGCTTGTGCTGCTGCGAAATCAAAACCTCCCCTGTTTCATTTGATGGTTTCAGGATGCTTACTGTCCTTGAGCTTAGAAATGTGATCTTCAGTGATGGGTACTCTTCTACTCCTTGGAGCTTTAGATGCCCGCTACTTTCAGCTTTGACCTTGGATGATTGTGGTGGTCTTTTCGAAGAGCCCGACATTGTGATAGAAGCTCCCAAACTCAGCAATTTCCGCTTTTTTGGGAAGTTCAGCTCTCTTCATCTGAAGCATACTCCACTTCTCAAAACCGCTGTCCTCAACAAACAATTTCCTCCCACTGAGCACAAGAAAGACGGGCCCTCAAAGGTGTTGCAAATATGGGGTGGCCTTGCTGCTGTGGAGTCGCTTTCTGTGTCTGGTCATTTCTACCAGGTAATGCCACTACTTCCTGCTGAAGCTTTCTAATAGGTCTTGTTAATCATAAGGTTAGAATCCAAGCTATGGTAAGTATTATCATCTGCAGTTCTCCATAATAATGTTGGGCCAACCCCTGGCATCATAATTACTTGCACAATATTACTGTTTCAGTACCTAGCGAGAGGTAACCAAGCAATTGATCTCAGCCCGTTGGAGATGGTAACGCATATGACCTTGGATGAACTCTGGTTTAGCGGACGGATCGGTATGTGGTCTGCTCTTTACATGATTATGAAAGCACCTAATTTGCAACGCCTGACGATTTCGGTACCTTTCCATCACCAACCTTACTTTCTCCTTCTATTCATTACCAAGCTACAATGATGTTGTGAATATTAAAATGGTGAATTTGAATCTTGATGTTCTGTTGATGATGAAGATGAAGAAGAATCTGAAGCAGATGTCTGATACCTCAACTTCAGCCGCGATGGGAACAGTGCCTAGCGGTGAACTAGATGATGGTCGATTCCGGGGCATGATCGTTCGTGCGTTCGGATATCGAATGGCTCAACTCAAGAGGGTGGAAGTGAAGAGGGTGAATGGTGCAAAACCTGAGATGACCTACATTAGATGGTTGCTCAACTCTTCGCCGGCACTTGCTAAGATGGAAATCCAGTTGTCACCGGAACTATCAGCTGCTGAGAAGATGTTGATTCTGACAGCGTTGAATGGCTTCGAGAGGATTTCAGCCAAAGCAAGAATCACAATTACCTGAAACAGATGTGTGCACTATATAATCCTCTCTGTATTTTTTTTTTTTTTGGGTTCAATAATACTAATCCCTTGTGCGTCTCTATAGGACAGTCTCGATTTTGGGGTTCATTATATACATTGGTCTAAAATTAGACTCTAATCATCAAATTGTAAAGTTACTTACCGGAGGTGGTGGTCGTACGAGTAGACAGTTTGATGAGTAATAGGTATGGACCAGGAGAAATAGAGAACGAAAGAATGTTGAGATTGGAAGATTTGAGTGAGGTTGAGGAGAGAATTCGGAGAGGTAACAAGAAGAGAGACAGAGAATCATATATTCAAATTATGATAATTGAACGAATCAAGTTGTTAAAAGAGTACAAATGCAAAATACTACAACTACAAATAAAATGAGTTGAGTTGAGTTGAGTCGAGTTGAGTCGATATGTATAACTTGGTAAGATAGAATTAAATGCTGGCCACAAAATACTAGGCGAAAACGGAATTTTGTGGCAGGGTTACATAACGCAAGAGGTCAGTGGGTAACGGAGGAAAAAGAAAAGGCGTCCATTGCCACAGAGTTCTACCAGAATTTATTTACCTCAGAGACTATGATTCCATATGTGGCTGAGAGGGTGGCGGCTTTACCTATCCCTCGCAGTGTCACACCGGTGATGAATGCTAATCTAACGGCAGAAGTATTGCCAAGTGAAGTCCGGAGAACAGTTTTCAGGATGGGCTCGACGCAAGCTCCTGGATCTGATGGCTTCACGGGCAAGTTCTTTAAGGCCTTCTGGGATATCGTTGGGGAGTCAGTGGTGGAGGCTGTGTGCTCGTTTTTTGCAACGAGTAGAATGCTAAAAAGTTTTAATCATACCTGGCTAACATTGATTCCCAAGGTAGATAATGTGGAACATGTGAAGCAATTACGCTCAATTAGCCTTTGCCAATTTGTTTATAAGATATAACCAAGATTCTGGCTGAGCGGCTCTCTTCCCTATTACCGCATATCATCTCTGATGGCCAGAATGCTTTCATCCGGGAGAGGCAGATAGTTGATAATATCCTCATTGGACATGAGCTAATGCACTATCTTAAAATTAAAACACGGGGGAAGAAAGGGTACATGGCTCTAAAGGTTGACATGGAAAAGGCCTATGATAGAGTCGAATGGCCGTTTCTTCTTGCGGTGTTGGATAAGATGGGATTTAGCTCGGTCTGGCAAGGATGGATTCATGAGTGTCTCAGGTCTGCCTCTTTTTCGGTTCTAATGAATGGCACTCCATCTGGTTACTTCAGTCCTTCCCGGGGGCTACGGCAGGGAGATCCGCTTTCCCCACTCTTATTTGTGCTCTGCACTGAGGGGTTCGCGACACTTCTTCGTAAAGCAGTTTCGGAGAAGCGTTTGGCGGGGGTAAAGGTGGCTCCGCGTGCTCCTAGGATTTCCCATCTTTTCTTTGCGGATGATTCTTATCTATTCCTGCGGGGATCATTGCAAGAATGTGAGAATCTGATTGAGGTACTGAATGATTATGAGGAGCTCAGTGGCCAGCGGGTGAATCTGGAGAAATCGGCAGTCTGCTTTAGCAAGAACATTGCTCAGCCAGATCAGGAGTTTTTGGCCACGATTTTGGGGGTTGGGGCGGTAGGAGTCCATGATAAATATTTGGGGTTGCCAACGCTAATTGCTCGATCGAAAATGACAACTTTCCGTTACCTAGAGGAGAAATTGCTAGAGCGGCTCCAGGGATGGAAGCAGAGGACGCTTTCTTGGGCAGCCAAAGAGACTTTAATTAAGTCAATTGCTCTGGCCTTACCCTTGCATGTGATGTCCTGTTTCAAATTGCCTCTATCCCTGTGTCGATTACTAGATAAGCATGTTGCCAGGTTCTGGTGGGGAGCGGAGGAGGGTAACTCCAAGGTGCGCTGGGTGTCCTGGCGGAATATGTGTAGAAGTAAGCATGAGGGGGGAATGGGATTCCGCCGATTTGAGCATTTTAATCAAGCTTTGTTAGCTAAAATTGGTTGGCGTATATTCTCTGAGCCCCAGTCCCTTTTAGCCCAGGTTTACAAAGGCAAATACTTCCCCAATGGAACATTTCTTCAAGCCAAAGCTCGGTCTCGGCCGTCCTGGGGGTGGCAAAGCATCTTGTTTGGGCGCCAGCTGTTGACAGAAGGTCTCTGTTGGCAGATTGGGAATGGGAAGTCTGCCTCCCTCCTTCATTCCAATTGGATACCGCGGTATCAGTTGGAAGTTCTGCGCTATAATCCGCAGATTTTGCCAGGAGAGGGGGACCCGAGGGTGGCTGAGGTCATTTGTCCAGGGGAAGGGAGGTGGAATGACTCTAAATTGGCCCAGTGGTTTGACCCGGCCACCTGTCGAGTAATTAAGGAAATCCATCTGCCTCGACAGAATGTGGAGGATCGTTTGATTTGGCATGGGACGAAGGACGGGGTTTTCACTGTCAAGTCGGCTTATCACCTTGCGGTGTCCCTGGATAGGAGGGAGGGCAGTTGGCAGTCATTGGCAAGTTGGATGGATAAGGGGAGTTGGATCCGGGTGTGGGATGCGAATATCCCTCCTAAGTTAAAGGTTTTCCTCTGGCAGATCTTTAACCGGGCCCTCCCAACCACTGAGGCACTAATTGAGAGGAAGATCCCGGTTCACCCACGTTGTCCGGTGTGTTGGTCGAGTTCGGAGACAATGGAGCATTTATTTCTCTATTGCCCGGTTGCGCGTGCACTCTGGGACTATTCGGGTTTGGAATACCTGGGTGAAGGGTTGCCTCGGCAGACCTTCCCTCTTTTTCTCAAAAAGTTACTCGCCTTGGTTCACCAACCCACGCTGTTCATGGTAGTCGTAGCTGTCCTTTGGAGGATCTGGCGCTCTCGGAATTGGGTGGTGTTTGAGGGTAAGCAGTTTGATATCCCTGCTTTGATGCGTCAGTTTCACCAGCAATGTGAGGAATGGGAAAATGTGCCGCTGGGAGGTCTTACGCACGGTTCCTCCCTCCCGGGGTCTGCTCGGCTGCCGTCAGTGGAGGCTGGTAGAATGGTGTGTATGTGGGATGGCGCTACTAAGGGAGGGTCTCACTCAGCTGGTGGGATTGTTATCTTGACTTCCTCTCGCGAGATCCTCTTGGTTAAAGGGGTCCACATCCCGGTAATTGATAATCCCATGGTGGTGGAGTTACTTGTGCTTCGGGCAGCGATCCTCTGGTGTCTGGAGCTTGGCTTTACAGACGTCGTTTTTGAAGGAGATGCCAAAGTGATCATTGATAAAATCAATCAGGGCGATACTAGAGATACCCAGGCAGGGGCGGTTCTTGCGGAAGTGGTGCAATATTTTGGTCCCCAGGCGGAGTTTATGGTTTGATTTGTAGGTCGGTGTAACAATAGGGTAGCCCATTCGGTGGCTAGAAAGGCCCTTTCTTTGTCCCCGGCTACGAGTCCTGTATTTGATTATCAGACCTGGCTGTTTTCCAGGGTGTAACTTTTCTTGGTCTGATATAAATATATAACTATCTTTTGTAAAAAAAAAAAAAAAATTAAATGCTGGCCACAATTGAATGAAAAGGACATTATAATAATAAAAGCTGGAATTTTCTAGAATCTTTCTTTTTTGTTGAATTGTTAATATTTTTTTCTACGTACTAGGTGAACTAAATGAAGGGGGGGAAAAATCATTGAGTGCAGGTAGAGGTGGCAAATGGATTGGATTGGTGGATTGGTGGATTGGATTGGTGGATCCATGGATCAAATGGATTGGATCTAATGGATTGGTGGATTCATGGATTGGATCAAGTGGATTGGTGGATTATCCATAAATCCAAATGACATCCTCAACCAATGACCAATATGTAAAATGTAAAAAGTTTAGGTAATAAAATGTCACAATGAAAAATTTTAGGTACCAAAACGTAATTTTCCAATGATATTTTTCGTATAAAAAATAAAATTTTAGGTACCAAAATGTAAAAAATAAAATTATAGGTACTAAACTGTAATTTGTCAATGATCCATGGATCCAATCCATGAATCCACCAATCCAATTGGATTTGGATCAAATGGATTGGATTTAAATGGATTGGATTAGGTGGATATTTTTAATGGATTGATGGATTGGATTGGTGGATTGGATTGAAATTGACACCTCTAAGTGCAGGGAACCTAGTCCTATAAAAAATATAGGTTATCTGTCATTTCTTTTCAAGCAAAACGCCTACATTATTTTTGGTAATTTCTCAAATTCATCGAGACTTTGTTAGTCTTCAGCAATTCTTACACCTATTAAACGAAGAAGTTGAGATGAAGACAAAAAACCCACAACCCAGTGATTAAGATAATAGTCACCAAAATTTGAGACAAATCATAAAGAAAAACTATGGCCGGAGGAGAGCGTTCAAGCAAGGTACTGATGATGGCGATGGCGATTATGATGCTAGTGGCAATGTTAGGGGAGCTTCAATATGCCAGTGCAGATAAGACACTAGAGAAATGTTTGAAGGATTGCATAAGATGCTGTCAAGACCAAGATGACGTCTGTTTCTATGAATGTAGATGATAGGTTTGTGAATGTTGTGTATCTTGTATTGACACAGATGAAGGCTATTTATAGCCATAGGTATACACAGTACAATACATACAAGGAAAGGTAAACGACTACTACCTACAATCCTATTACAACTGGGATAAAGACTTATCCCTAATACGCCCCCGCAAGACGGAGGCGGCGTCAGCTAGCCCGATCTTGGAGCAGAGGAGATGGTAGCGAGTGGATGGAAGCGGTTTCGTGAGGACATCCGCGAGCTGAGCCGCTGTCGGAACATACCTGACAATCAGCTGCTTGGCCTGGACAAGCTGACGCACAAAGTGGTAATCCAACGCAAGATGTTTCATACGAGAGTGAAACACTGGGTTGGAACTGAAGTTGACTGCCCCCATGTTGTCGGAAAGAAGAACGGGCGCAGCAGAAGGTCGTTGGTGTAGCTCGGAGAGGAGGTTGCAAATCCAACGAACTTCGGAAGTCGCTAGTGCAATGGCGCGATACTCTGCCTCAGTGCTAGAGCGAGCAACAGTCCGTTGTTTCTTGGATTTCCACGAAATCAGTGTGTCGCCTAGGTAGATGAGGAAACCCGAGGTGGAAGTGCGATCGTCCGGATCTCCAGCCCAGTCAGAGTCGGAAAACACACGAAGACCAAGTGGAGCATGCTGGCGGCGAATGTGTAATCCGAGTGAGCTGGTGCCGACCAGGTATCGTAATAAGCGCTTGACATGCTGCCAGTGGAGCGTGGTGGGAGCATGCATGAACTGTGACAGTTTGTTGACCGCGAACGCAATATCCGGACGAGTGGTGACCAGGTACTGGAGAGCACCAAGAACCTGTCGGTAATGGGTGCCATCCGCGGGAGCAGAGCCATCGGAGAGGTGCAGGCGAGCAGTGGAGGCTAAGGGCGTGGAGACAGGCTTCGCATCCTGCATTTGAAAACGAGTGAGAATGTCCTGGATGTACTTGTGTTGGGACAAGATGAAGCCAGTAGTGGTGGGTATGACTTCAATGCCGAGGAAGTAGTTGACTTGACCGAGGCGGCGAAGAGAAAACCTGGCAGCCAACTGATCCTGGAACTGACGGAGAAATCCCGAGTTATTACCGGTGAGGAGTAGATCATCCACGTACATGAGAAAGTAGGCCAAGACACCTTGGCGATGATAGACGAACAGGGAGGCATCAGACTGCGTTTTGACGAAGCCGCAGTGTACGAGAAAGGAGCTCAACTCATCATACCACGCTCGAGGTGCTTGACGGAGACCATAGATGGCCTGCCGGAGACGACATACATGGTTGGGAAACTGGGGATCGCGAAACCCGGGTGGCTGGACCATATACACCTCTTCGCGAAGAGGACCCTGAAGAAATGCATTGTGAACGTCAAACTGATGAACAGGCCATGCATGAGAGAGAGCAACGGTGAAGACAGTTCGGACGGTCACTGGTTTGAGAACGGGGCTGAACGTCTCATGAAAATCCACTCCAGGTCGTTGATGGAACCCTTTGGCAACCAGTCGTGTCTTGAAACGTTCGATGCTGCCGTCGGGACGGTGTTTGATGCGGTAGAGCCATCGATTACCAATGACATTGTAATGAGGGAGACGTGGAACGAGATCCCATGTCCTGTTGGCGCAGAGAGCATCGAATTCCGTGTGAAGAGCTTCATTCCACTCCGTATAACGGAGTGCTTCTTTGACTGATCGCGGCTCAAGGGGAGGTGTGACCTGCGAAGAAGACAAGACTTGCACATATTTTCTATTAGGTTTAAAAATATTGTCTTTAGCTCTGGTCCTCATGGGATGAGAGGGAGCAGCCGCGGGTGGTGGCCTGGCCGGTGGTGCGTCTGGTGCAGGGAGCCGAGGCGGGGAGCTCGCTTGTGGGGAAGCCGTCGCAGAGGGCGCTGGCTGGCGGGGAGGAACAAGAGCCGAGATGGGTGTTGGTGACATGGGAGTGTATGTGACCGGGGGAATACTTGCAGCGAGCCAGGCATCGGACGAGGGAGGAGCAAGTGGGGAAGAAGACAAAGCTGCCCCAGGAAACTCGGACTCAATAAAGACTACGTGACGCGAGAGATAGAGGCGATTGGAGACCGGGTCAAGACATTTATACGCACTTTGTTGGTGGGAGTAACCGAGAAAGAGACATGGACGAGACCGGGGATTAAGTTTGTGCGAGCTATAAGGACGGAGCCATGGATAGCAGAGGCATCCAAAGACACGAAGTTTGGAGTAGTTAGGAGATTCATTGAACAGGACAGTGAAGGGAATGTGGCCTCGAAGAGCTGAAGATGGAAGACGGTTAATGAGGTAGACCGCAGTAACAAAGGCATAAGACCAATACGAGATGGGAAGAGACGCTTGATGAAGGAGAGTAAGACCGGTTTCAACAATATGTCGGTGTTTTCTTTCAGCTAGACCATTGTGTTCGGGTGTATAAGGCGGAGTGAGGAGATGAGTGATCCCATGGGTGCTAAGGTCATGGCGGAGTTTGATAAATTCACCACCACCGTCAGTATAGAGACGACGTATGGTGGTAGAAAAATAATTCTCAACCAATCGTCTAAAGGCAAGGAAGACAGAGAGGACATCAGACTTTAAACGAATGGGATAAATCCAGGTATATCGAGTAAAATGATCAACAAGAACCAAATAATATGAATATCCATCGATAGAGGGTACAGGGGCAGGGCCCCAGACATCAGAATATACTAAATCAAAGGGTCTGGTACTAGTTAGACTGGAGTCACCAAAAGGAAGCCTATGACTTTTATTCGACAAACACGAGGGACAGTGAGAAAAAATTGAGGACTTGGACACAGGTAGCGATTGAGTGTGAAGAAGACGGGATAACGACTTAGAGGATGGATGACCAAGACGACGATGCCAGGACGTTGCAGAGTTCCTAGTGGTCACCAGCGCGAGACGAACCGCCGATGAGCCACCGGGAAGCTCATATGTATCACCCTTGTTCCTTCCTTTCAGCAGCGGCGCCCCCGTGCGAAGGTCCTTCACAAGAAAATAACGAGCAAAAAATTCGACCGACACCGGGTTAGTGCGACATAGTTTAGCAACAGATATCAGGCGTTGCTTGATAGCAGGAACACATAGCATATCATGCAAAGCTATAGAGTGATTAGCAGAGGTAAGTGAGGAAGAACCAATGTGAGTGATCTTCAAACCTGAACCGTCGCCTAGGTACACTTCATCCGGGCCATTGTAATCTGAGTATAAGGCAAGGTTGCCTAAGTCGTTCGTGACGTGATGAGTTGCTGCCGAGTCCATGAGCCAGGAACCACCAGCTCGAGACTCGGAAGGACGAGCTGAGTGGTTGGTGTGATGCGCCTGGGTGCGTCGTTGTGGATGAAGTTGGAAACATTGCTTCGCAGTGTGGCCGGGTTTGTCGCAGTACTGGCATTGGACACGAGGGCGACGAGTCTCACTTTCATCTGGCGGGGAGGACATATCCCAAGAGGTGGATGATTCAACCGAACGGGAGCCGGAGCCACGGCCGCCACCACGGCCAGCAGAGCCACCGCGTCGTCCCCTGGTGCCACGGCTACGCTGAGTGTTGTAGGCTGTAGCAGGAGTGGAAGAAGAGCGTCGAGCCTTGAGATCGGCCTCTAGGGAGACAAGGCGATCGACGAGGTCCTCGAGAGATGGTGGATTTTCGCGAGCACGTATCCCGGCTGCAAACTCGCTGTAATCGTCGCCGAGACCGCGAAGACAGTAAGTGACCAGTTCGTCATCATGGACAGCAGTCCCAGCGAGAGCCATCTCGGTGGCTGTGGAGCGAAGCGCCTGTACAAAGGTTGCAACGTCACGATCGCCCTTCTTCTCCGCAAGCAGGCGATCCCGGAGAGAGATAACTCGAGATCGGGACGCATTGGCGTACATCCGAACGAGTGTAGACCAGGCGGCAGCAGTGGTGGGAGCCGAACTGATGAAGGGGCAGACTGTTTCCGAAACTGAGGCAAGCAGGCTGTTGAGAAGCAGTTTGTCCTGGCGAAACCAGTGAGTGTAGGTTGGATTTCGCGATTCGACGCCATCAATGGTGATGCGTTCAGGAGGGGGAGCCGTTGTGCCGTCGAGATAGCCGACCAGGTCGAGCCCTTGGAGCAGGGAGAGGAGCTGAGCACGCCAAGAAGGGAAGTTGGTCGGCGTGAGTTTGAGAGGTAGACTGGCCGCTGGGTTGATCGTGACCAGCGCCGGCGATGCGAGAGGACTAGGAGAGTCGGAGGTTGTGCTGGACATGGTAGATTCCGAGCCTGACATGTCGCCGAAGGGAGCTGAATGTGGAACGCAAGAGAGGACGCTGAACGTCGACGCACACCAAGCTTGCGTAGGCGCCGGAAAGAAATTCTAGGGTTAGAATTCCAGCTCTGATACCATGATAGGTTTGTGAATGTTGTGTATCTTGTATTGACACAGATGAAGGCTATTTATAGCCATAGGTATACACAGTACAATACATACAAGGAAAGGTAAACGACTACTACCTACAATCCTATTACAACTGGGATAAAGACTTATCCCTAATATTAGAGTCAAGTGTGCTCATGGCCCTTCTCCCTGTAAAAGAGTCGGGGTAGACGGTTGATCCAAAAATTAATTTCACTAATCTTAATATAAATTACCCGTCTAATAATAACATTCATAATATATATGTTTGAAGTTTTTTTGTTTTTGTTTTACAAACAAGAGATTAGCATTCCCTTGGGTTAAACTTAAATATAACTTTTTCAATCTAAACTTAAACATATATTTGCTTTCCTTAACGAGCGAATGGTGATTTAAGTCTCTAGATTTGCTTTCCTTAATATAAAGATTTCATTTACCACATTCATTGAGCCGAGCAGGAATTTTTTATTTATTTATTCTTTATTGTTAACCAAGGTAAGTTCAAGAGTATGTTCGGACAACAAATATAAAAGAAAGACAATAATAAAAAATGGTCGTCCGTATGCAACCGAACTTTCGATGAAAGAGCCTTTTGTTGTCAGTAGATGGACAGTTCTATGAAAGCTCCAAGAAGCTCTATGAAAACTTCAGGATTCTTATTATTATTATTCCTATCAGAATTATTATTTATTAGATTATTATTATTATATTAGATTAGATATATTAATTATTGGCGAGTATACTTAAGGAGTTCAGTAGGATCCGAACGGCCTACAGTACGCTACCTGCATCCTAGCGTAGTACCGTTCAATTCATCCCATGATCTCGATCTTAGATTTTTATTTTTCTGGGCATATCCGAGCATCGTCTTCTTTCCTTACCAGTTAAAGCATCTACAACGGCTATCATATTGCTATTTCATATCCTATGTGGCACTTTCATTTCCCCTTTCATTGTTGGAGCCCATATTTCATAAAGTGAGATCTTTCACTTAATGAAATACCAAATGGAAGAGCAAGAGTGGGCTCCACCCACGTTTATGCTATTTTTCTTTTTCTTTCTTCATTTCTATTCTATTTTGTGAGTTGTGAGAGTGTGTATTTTTATTTTGTAGGCCCACTATGAAATAAATAATGAATCATGAGTTATGAAGCCGAAATAAACAAAACAATAATTTCATTCCGAATTGCTCTCTCTGCCGCTCAATCGATCATACACTACATCCAAATCAATTACTTAAAGTCGCAATCAATTCATTTCCACTTTCAATTCAATCTTCTGGCTCAAGATACGGTGAGTAACCATTGATTAGTAACACATAGAGTAAATAAATATGAAATTTGTATTAAAGTTAACCCATAAAATTCATATCTAATGGTCGTGAATTAAATACATTTTATTTTTCCTAGTTTTCTTAGTACACTTATCTTCTTCGTTCTAACTCGGATTTCATTTTTTTAGAATGAGTTCGTTGTGCTCTACAAAATGAGATCAATTTTCAATATTTTTTGAGAAATTTTTTTCATATCTCTTGTTACCAACTTCATACCATATGGTATCTCCTTCGTTTTTAAGTCATTTTTTAAAATATTTGCACAGAAAGAACGAGTTTATCCAGATCTATTGGATCGACAAATTTCTCGGTGAAAGAAATACAAGACAAAAAAATACCATAATATACCATCCTGGTATGAGGATGGTAACTTGTGGTGCACAACGATGAAAGTCTTAAATGACAGTTAATATACTCGTACTATTATGATGAGAGAAGATTTTGGTGTCATGCTGATGTGGACGGGTTACTCACCATTACTGATCCTAAGTTTACTGACAGGATCCAGACTTAGGTTGGGAATAAATCAGGTCAGTAACCTTATGGTGAGTAACCATGAGTAACCCGTCCACATCAGCATAACATCAGCATCCTCTCTCTCATGAAAAGCCTTTAATATTTTCCTCTTTAATCTTTGACGGACGATTTCTCGCTCATTTTAAGTCGAAATTTAATTTTTTTTTGCACAGTTAGATCAGATTAATTGTGCTCTTCAAAATGATATCCACTTTAATATATTTTTCGAACAGAAAAAATTGAGCCATTTTTTACCAGCCTATACCATATGGTATTGACTAGCATTGAAATAAAAGCATACCTATGTTTTGAAAAATGTACCATGGTGGTATGAACAAACCAATACTGTAGGATGGTTGAATACATGATAGTATAAGTATATTAATTGTAATTTACGACTTTTAACATTGTATACCACACAAAACCACCCCGTACCATTGTGGTATTGTATGGTATTGTGTGGTATTTTTTGGTCCTGTAATTTGTTCACCCAGAAATTTGTAGATCCAATAGATGATGATGAACTCATCCCTTCTGTGCAAACGTTTTAAAAAACGAATTAAAAACGAAGAAGATACCATACAATACCACCCCATACCAGGCTGGTATTGTATGGTATTGTGTGGTATTTTTTTGTCCTGTAATTTGTTCACCCAGAAATTTGTAGATCCAGTAGATCATGATGAATTCATCCCTGCTGTGCAAACGTTTTCAAAAACGAATTAAAAACGAAGAAGATACCATATGGTATGCAGTTGGTACCGAGAGACCAGAATTTTTTATTTCCTAAAAAAATATTGAAAATTGATCTCATTTTGTAGAGCACGGTGAACTCGTTCCATCTGTGCAAAAAAAATTAAAATCCGAGTTAAAACGAAAAAAGATATGAGTCAATTAAAAAAACTAGTGAAAATAAAAATAGCCTTTAATTCTCCATCCTTAGATTTGGATTTTCTAAATGAAGGGTCCAGATTTGGTTATTGATGGGTGCATAACCCATGGTTATGCACCCTATCTTGAGCCCGAAAAGAGAGTATGGTTGAGAAGCGATAAAAGATAAGCTTTTTTTTTAGGGTAAATACAATTTAATATCCAAATCTTTCATTTTAAACAATATTATAGCCAAACCTTTTCTAAAACAATCTAATATCCAAATCGTCAACTTTCCGTTCGTTTGACCGTTAGGTGACACTTCAAAAAAACTTTGTTTGGGAAAATTGTCACAATACAACTTTGTTTTCTTGTTTTGGCATTGCAGATGACTGAATATTTAGATATTCTATACCATCATGGTGAAGTCATGGACTTCTCGGGTTTGGAACTACGATATTTTGGTGGTTTTTCAGAGAAGATATCGATGGATATTGATGAAGTGTCGTACTTCGAACTTTTTTGAAGTGTCAACTAACGGTCAAACAAACTGAAAGTTGACGATTTGGATATTAAATTGTTTTCGAAAAGGTTTGGTTATTATATTGTTTAAAATGAAAGGTTTGGATATTAAATTGTATTTACCTTTTTTTTATTAATATTGGTTATGGTTTTTACAAGAAAAAACAAATAATGGAGATTATAAGCTTTTGTCAGAGATGAAACGATTGTCTGCGGTGTGATGATTTTATCGCTTATACATTATTATTATGATATTAATAATTTAATAGTTATAGGTGTTTTCTTTTTTCACGAATATAAATAGCTAGGTACTTGGGAATTAATAAAATTTGATAATAAAATTTAATTAGTAATTAATATAATAATAACGTTCTGTTCACGCTCTCATAATTGAATTACTGAAAAATCAATGTTTTGAGGGACTTACTACGCACCTATGAACTAGCCTCAGGTCAACAGGTAAGCTTAGTCAAGTCAGAGCTCTCTTTCAGTACCAATGTCATTGAAGAGGACAGAAGAAGAATGGGAGACATCCTAGGAATGAAAAGGGTAATGCATCATGACAAATACCTAGGACTTCCTACAATAATTGACCGAGCCAAGAAAGCTGTATTTGCACAGCTAATTGATCGTGTTAGAGATAAAATTAAGATGTGGAAAGGGAAGCTGTTGTCTATGGCAGCAAAAGAGGTACTCATCAAGGCAGTGGCACAAGCTCAAACCTTATATGCCATGTCAGTTTTCAAGGTACCTCAAAGTGTCCTACAAGAAATCCAAAGAATGATTGCAAGCTTCTGGTGGGGAAGGAAAAGGGAGGAAAG